TTGTCAAGTCATAGCGTACGCCGATGACATAGCAATCGTTGCAACGGGCAAACATCTTCAGGTCTTCAGGAGTTATTGCAAAACGCACTCGGTCTGGTAAACATCTGGTCCAAGGAATGTGGACTTAGTGTCAATCCTGCCAAGACAGAAATGGTACTTTTCACAAGGAGGTATAAAACTCCCTTATTTAAACCTCCCGCCCTAAACGGGGTGGCACTTACTCCCTTGGAGTTATTCTGGACAAGAAACTGGACTGGAAGCGAAATATTGAAGACCGCTCCAGGAAGGCCAATACTGCCCTGTATGCCTGCAAGACGGCTATAGGGAAAAAATGGGGAATAAAACCACACATAGTACACTGGATGTACACAACTGTGATAAGACCCATCCTTTTCTAAGGGATCACCGTATGGTGGCCTGCGCTAAACAACACCTTATCCAGAGCCAAGGCGGAGCGTGTGCAGAGGACGGCTGCCATGCTCGTCACGGGAGCCCTGCCCACTACACCCACCAAACATTTGGAAATAATCTTAAATCTTCCACCTGTTGATCTCTACGGCAAATTTCGGGCCGGCTGTAGTGCGGCCAGGTTAAATACAATCCAGCCGTGGAGAGACCACAGTTTCGGACACCCAAAGGTATTTGAAACTGTACCGGATAATCTACGACAGATAGATTATACTAGCGTTCCTATTTTGTTAATTTATTTGTCTCGTTTTTGTTTAAAATTGATGGTTTTTTATAAACATATGATCTCTAATTTTATCAAAAAAATTTAACTACTAAATTATAAAATAAACTTTTTTTCATAATAGTTTACGGAATTTAAATGATTTAGCAGGATTCTAGCGATTTTTGTTTATTAATCTGGCGGAACGGCAGAAGCAGAAATGGCAACACTGGTGGTGAGTACCGACTTGCATGCGCGCAGATTAGCTGTTTTGTAACTTTTGCATTGTCAACGTTCAGGTGGTCGGAAAATTTCAAAGATAGGGGTTGTTCTTGCGCAGATAATTTTTCGTTAGAAATTTGCTTGGAAAAAAGGACAATCATGCGCAAAACAACCTTTTTATATGACGGTTTGATACCGACTGAGCCTAGTAGCAGCGCTCGGCTCTCTTATCTACGAACACATGCGCAAGCAATTGTTCGCCAGTATGAATTAGCACATAAAATTTTTTTAAATATGTATAATCAATTTAAACTTTATTGATGTATTAATAATTAATTAATATTAATAATAAACGAAGAGGTGAATAGAATAGCCTTTGGAAGTATACATTGTATAAAATGGGTTAATACACGTATACGGCTATTGCTTACCCTTTCGGTTTTAAATTTTTACACCGCATCTAGCACCTGCTTGCCCGCGCTGCTGCGCGCGAGCTGTTCTGCCGCTCATCCCTAGATTATACCACCCATCCACTCTGTTTAGATAACAAATTCTCCACAAGAATCCCAGAGAGGAACGACTGGGAAAGGGGCACAGACTTGAACCCAGGGTATACGGCCATATATACAAATGGTTCCAAGCTTAACAAAAGAGTGGGTAGCGGGATCTACTCTGACGAACTCGCGCTAAATCTCAGCTTTCGCTTACCGGACCATTGCAGCGTTTTTCAAGCGGAATTAAACGCCATAATGGAGGCGGCTCGGTGGCTTACAACCTCCACCCCTCCAGGACGGCCTATTTCTATCTATTCTGATAGCCAGGCTGCTATAAAATCTCTCAATTCTAGGGATGGGTAGTGGGGGGTTGAAATTCGATTTTTTCCGATTTTCGAACATTGCCCAACCATTCGATTAATCGATTCGAAATTTGGTGGTGCAAATTCGATTTGATTAGAATTTTTCGAGTTCGGAGCCGTTTGCGTTAAATGTTTAACACCAAGTCAATAAATCTGTATCGTTCGCTCAATTTCAAAAAATTAAGTGTCAAATTAAAGGCTCGTCCTTTGGGTCTGCATCATAGTTTTAGTTTTATAAAAGGGTTGCCACAGGTTAGAAAATCCAAATCAAATAATCGCAACCGCAGATGTTTGCGTTAAATATTTAACACTAAGTCATAGAATCTGTATTGTTTGTTCGATTTTCAAAAAGGAGTTAGGTGTCAAATGAAAGTGCTTGCACTGTAGATGTGTAATATGGTTTAGTTTTGAGCCATAAGTAGGAAAATCAAAATCAAATTATATAGTAAGTTAAATAAATTACCTCAATATGGGTATCAATGGAAATGGTTTAGGAGGGTTGCCATCAACAATTAAAATATTTTTGATGTGCTTGAAGAGAGTGGCCACCTGTTTAAAAAGTTAAACTCAAATTACATTGTGCGATAGCCGAAACCAGCCCGGACTTTGTAACCATTTTCTGAAAGTATACCCATCCAGTAGTAAAACACACGATGGATTTGCAAAAGTTAGCTCGTATTTTTATTTTATGGCCTACTAAAGTTTTCATGTCTCGGTCTATGTAGTTTTCAAAAAAGTTGAAAAAATTGTTAAAATAAATGTCTGAGCGAAATTAAAGATTAAGACATATATAATAAAATTTCATAGAAAATATTTTCGTAGAACAATTTTAGCTATTAGCTCCCGCCTAAAAGGGTAATTTTGACTCTTACTTCAAAAAATCCCGCAAAAAGCAAATTTGGAAGGACGTTGGAGGATTGATTTATTTTAAGAAATTATTCTCCGGAAAATTTTACTAGGGGTCTTCTCAGGAAAAAGCTTCAAGCTACCAACGTAAAAGCCTCCAAAAATTTAAAATAAAAAATCAACAAATAATAGTTTTTTTACAATTTTTTTTTTTTTAAATTGAGTTTGGAATAACAGTTGCTTCTTGGCACAGATTTTTTGTTTCGATGCATCAGATCGAAAAACACACACAGTGATGGCAAATTTAGTCAGAAAGAAGAAATTTAGAGTTCATGTTTTGGAAATAAAGATGAAATTCGATTTTTTCTAGAAAAATTCGATTTTATCCGAATTTTGCCAACACAAAGTTCGATTTCAAAAATTCGCCATTTTGGAGCTAAAATTCGAATATCGAATTTACCCATCCCTAATTCTAACGAAGCAACGTCCAAAGTAGCCATAGAATGCAGGAAGCTCAGTATATCCAGTAAACAAACTTAGCTATTTTTTTTTACCAAGTTTGGTCCCCATAAAGGACTAGTGTTGCAAGCAACGCTTTTTCGGCAATTAGGGTCTTGTGCAGCTATTTAATGTGGTGAAAATTATTTATGGAGAGATTTATTCACATGGAATTGGAGATAGGGCTAATAGATTTATTTTAAATAAATTGTGAATCTGCGAAAATATCTTTTCAGCAGATGAATATACTTTTTAACCTTTTTTTCCGAAAATTTACATACAGGCTCGAAAATATGCGAGTAACATTAGGTTTGTATAGTAACTTCTCCAGTAAAACATTGCAGCGAGAGCGTAAAAGCAAAATAGAGCGTAAAATTGAGAAGAAGAGAAAACTAGCAGAAGAGGTTATTGAACACAAAACTAGCAAAAACTTGCAAGAGAACAGTTGTTGCACTGCTTTGACAATCTGCTGTAAACATTTTACTATTTATAAATCAGTTTTAAACTCTTTGCTTTACACACAAGCACTTACACTGTCCAGTACATCATTAATATTATGATTTCCACTCATTTTACTTTTGTTTGTGCCAAAGGCGAATCAATATAAGGTGATAGCAGGAGTACAAAAACAAAAATTTACATGTATTTTGTTTTTGCTTTGGCGGCATAAACTGTCAAAA